ATCTGCTTGAAATTAGCTGTAGAAAAGAGGCTGCCTCAACGGTAAGTACTCTGAAGGAGGCTGAGATTCTTGAGAAGTGTTTATTCTAGCAACTAGAACATTCCATAAGTGCTTCTTTAAAAAAACCCTTCTGAAGTAGACAACTGGATGTTCACTTCTGAGTAAATTCTAACATGAGCAGCAGTGTGTTGAACATGGACCATTCTACTAAAAGCTGACATTTAAAAAATAATTAGAATCATAGAATCATATAATGACTAAGGTTGGAAAAGACCTCTAAGATCATCAGGTCCAACTGTCAACCCAACACCACCATGCCTACTAAACCTTGTCCTGAAGTGCCATATCTGCAGGTTTTGTGAACACCTCCAGGCACGGTGACTCCACCACTTCCCTGGGCAGCCTGTTCCAGTGCTTGACAACCCTTCCGGTAAAGAAATTTTTCCTAATATCCAATTTAAACTTCCCCTGATGCAAGTTGAGGCCGTTTCCTCTCATCCTGTCACTAGTTACTTGGGAGGAGAGACCAACACCCACCTCACTACAACCTCCTTTCAGGTAGTTGTAGAGAGCAATAAGGTCTCCCCTCAGCCTCCTCTTCTCCAGACTAAACAACCCCAGTTCCCTCAGCCACTCCTCATAAGACTTGTTATCTAGACCCTTCACCAGCTAATTGTGACTAACTGCATTCTTTTTAGGAAAAACACGAAAAATTTGAAGAGGATTTTAAAATAAATTAACAACTTTAGATACTGCAACCCAACACATGCAGGTAACCCATGCTGAAGTCATGAAACAGAGACTCCAAGCTAACACATAATACCTGCAGCTGGATCTCGTTCTGTTACCAGTACTACATGCTTTCAACAACAAAAGATCTCTTCTTATGTTACCCTAATATGGAAAATAAGATAAAATTCAGGGTGACTTCTAAGTAAGAATGTTCCAGTGAGAATATACAGCTTCAGAAGGTCAGTAAGGCTGCCTAAGTCATCGCTTAGTATTTGTAAAATTCACTACATTAAGCATTAATGTAAACCAAAGACTTATCAAACTTTGCTTATTAATCCCATTCTCCGTTTTGTCTTCATTTGCGTAAACTGACTTGCAAGGTTTCTGTCATGAGGATATATATTGGTGCAGAGACGTGCATAAAGACAGGATGCTTCTCTCAATCTTGACAACGGCACATCATTGTGAAGGCATTGGGTGTGCCTGACAAATATTCTGAAAGTGAGGATGTAATAACATTTTTTTTTCTAAATTGGAAAAGCAGCTATTATTTATATGGGATATTTCTGAACATATGATGCAGTGCAATTTTGTACAGCTCATGTATATAATATGAAGAAGATATACTCTGCGTCTCTAGAGGTATGACTGGGTATCTTGCTACTAGTAACATTCAATTTTGTATTTCAGAATAGATTCAACCTTTTTGGGCACTCAAGCCCAAAACTTTACTTGGATGCCTAGCTCTCTTTGATCTCTGGACATTTCAGCTTCAAAATTAACTTCTTGAGAATTTAAAGACTTATAGAATTCAATTAATTAATCTTCATTTGGAGCAGTTGTCAGACAATGCTATTAAGAATTTCAGCACATCTTGTTTTGTCCTTATTCTACCCAATATTAACTTTGGGATGGGTATTGCATAAATCAAAAGTTTTAAAATTAAGAAAAATCTTCTGTAAATCTGTAATTGAAATGGTTATATTGTAATTAGCGCTATCCATCATTCATAAGAATGCATTCTGACCAACAATTGTGTTAAAGTGGATGAAGTTATTGTGAGATGCTATATAAATAATGAAAGGGTGAAATACATTATGGATACATTGTAATTTGAAACAAATAGATTAAAGCCAGCAACTCTTCAGCGTGGCCAGGGATACAAGTATATTGCTACAAAAAACCCCTAACACCTGCACCTAACAGGTTCTGAGAAGCAGAAAAAAGGTGAAATTTAAGAAAAGCAGCACTATCTAGTCCAGATTTTTTACACACACGGCACCATGATCATCTTGTTTCCATGAGACAGGGCCGGACCCACTCATGTTTTGCTGAAGACCTTCACAGCGCTTCGCTTACAGGGATCACTGAAAGAGCCTCTCCCTCTTTCGGGGATACCAAGAGCATGCGGGGACTGCGAAGTTATGTTTTCATTTGCGAGAGGAACAAACCCAGTCTCCAGATTTTTTACACACACGGCACCATGATCATCTTGTTTCCATGAGACAGGGCCGGACCCACTCATGTTTTGCTGAAGACCTTCACAGCGCTTCGCTTACAGGGATCACTGAAAGAGCCTCTCCCTCTTTCGGGGATACCAAGAGCATGCGGGGACTGCGAAGTTATGTTTTCATTTGCGAGAGGAACAAACCCAGTCTAACACCAAGCAAGCCC